CTCGATCTCCTGACCTCGTGATCCGCCCGTCTCGGCCTCCCAAAGTGCTGGGATTACAGGCTTGAGCCACCGCGCCCGGCCTGTTTTTGTTTTTTGAGGCAGAGTCTCGCTTTGTCACCAAAGCTCGAGTGCAGTGGCCCGATCTTGGCTCGCTGCATGCTCTGCCTCCCAGGTTCACGCCATTCTCCTGCCTCAGCCTCACGAGTAACTGGGACTACATGCGCCTGCCACCACGCACAGCTAATTTTTTATATTTTTAGTAGAGACAGGGTTTCACTGTGTTAGCCAGGATGGTCTCGATCTCCTGACCTCATGATCTGCCGCCTCAGCCTCATGAAAGTGCTGGGATTACAAGCGTGAGCCACCACGCCAGGCCTATTCAGGGAAGGTTTCAAGCATGAAGATGAACTTGAGTTGGCTTTGGAGAGATTCATGGGACTCCCACAGGCAGAGTGAAATAAGGGCATTTTAGATGGACAAACACACAGACAAGAGCAGAAATGCGGATGGTGTGACTGAGGTATGGTAAGTTGAAGCTCTGGCTGGAATGGAGGGCTGCCACAATAACGGAAATGGTAAATGAGGCAAATAAGGTTGGATTGGGAGCATGGCGTCAAGGTTACCAGCTTATTAAATCACTCTTCCAATATGCTAGCAGTGGCCTCTTGGGGATCATGTAATCGAACAAAAGGCAAACAGAGGCAAGCTCCAGGAATGGGCACTGTGAACAGGACTCGCCCCAGAGTAGCCAGATGTAGGCTTTAGACATTTTAATGCAGGTTGAGCATCTCTGATCCGAGGGGGAACGTCTCACATGGTGTCCAAGAAATGGTGACACATCTCACAGAGGGCCTAGGCTCAGGAGGGCTGGACTATGAGACATTCCCCCTCCCCTGTGAACTTAAAAATGTGGCCAACAATTTTTTTAAAAAAATGGCTACCCTGTAGTGCTTTAACTGGACCTATTTAGACAACGCCTTACACACTGGAAAAGGATGATACTGTGTGAATCTAATAAGTCTACAAGACAATACTTCTCTCTTTTGGCTGTCTCCTTCCTCTCCAGGGTGATGACAACTCCGTGAGGTGGAGATTATATGTCTTTCATCATTTCAGCAACAAGGAAATAAATGAGTGGCAGAGTAAGGGTGACTTGGTGAGTACATCTAATTGTTGACATCGTTTTACGTGGGAGAAATTTTGCTATTATATCAACTTCTTAAAATAGTCTAGTGGGATTAACTTGGTTTCAATTCACAGAGACCTCCTGGAAGCGAGGATCCTTTAAAATCATGGAATATACACTGCAGTAAAAGAACAAAGTATACCTCAGCCTTAAAGGACTGAAAAAGAATGTCGAGTAGCAGCAGGTGGGAAAGTGGCTTTGGTTTTGAGTTTGTGGGCTCTGAATCCACACAAAGACAGGACTGCATTCTGAAAACCTGAATTAATTATTATTCTTACCTCAATGAGACAAAAAATTATGATCAAAATTGTTAGTATTACAGTCACAGATATTGCCAAGATGAGTTTGTTGTTATAGCCATATCCTGGAACATCTTTCATGAGCTAAAAAAAAAAAAAAAAGGAAAGAACAATTAAAAAAAAAAAAAAGAGAATGGAAGCTAACTTCTCAAAACCCCAGTATTCCAGGTAAGTAGCTTACAGGTTCTTTTTTATTTTTTTTTTTGAGACAGAGTCTCACTCTGTCACCCAGGTTGGAGTGCAGTGGTGTGATCACAGTTCACTACAGACTCGACCTCCCTGGGCTCAGGTGATCCTCCCACTTCAGCCTCTTGAGTAGCTGGGACTACAGGCATGTGTCATCACCCCCGCTAATTTTTTTTATTTTTGTGGAGACAGGGTTTCACTATGTTGGCCAAGCTGGTCTCAAACTCCTGACCTCAAGTGATCCACCCACCTTGACCTCCCAAAGTGCTGGGATTACAGGCGTGAGCTACCAC